CTCTGAAGAAGTGGGGGTGCCAGGACCAGACCTGTGCCACTGCTCCTCCTGCTGCCTGTGAGGAAGGAGAGCTGCAGGGACTGCCATGGCTGGCCTGGAGGCACAGGCTCACTGGTCCCACCCCCTGCCACTGGTCATTCAGGAAGGTCATTCTTGCCTCAGCCCTTGCAGCCATGGCTTCATCTGGAAGGATGTCCAGAAGGACATCTGGAAGGACATTTGGCTGTCTGGTCTAATTAGCATATTAGCTCTTTATTATATAGGATAATAATTATAGCATCTTTTTGTTATGGTATAATGGCTGAGTAAAAATAATATTTATTGTGTTTGTTTCCTAGGGTTGTCATAACAAATTACCACAAATCTGGTAGCTTAATGTTGATGTAAGAATGTCCAAACCTTCAGAGTATTTTATAAGAATTTATTTGAGCCAACCTGACAACAATTGCTGGGAAGCAATATCTGAAATGCTCCAGAGAATGACAGTTTGTGGTTTCTTTTGTACATTTGGAATTAAGGAGGGAACATAAAGATGACATGGAGGTGGGAGAAAGCAAGTCAGGGGTTAGATTACAGGATTGTTAACACAGTTATGTGTGCTCTCTTGAGGGTGCTTGTACTTCTCAGAGCTCTGAAAAAGAGCTTTCCAAAGGTGTGTTTACCTGGATGCACTAAAACAATGGACAGTGCTTGCTGAAGGCAAAGATAAACCTTCTACTAAGGAAGTTATATGGCCCAGTCCATGTGGCTCAGTGGTTGAACATTGAACTATGAACCAGGAGGTCACGGTTCAATTCCTAGTCAGGGCATATGCCCGGGTTGTGGGTTCAATCCCTGGTGGGAAGTGTGCAGAAGACAGCCAATCAATGATTCTCTCATCACTGATGTTTCTATATCTCTCTCCTCCCTTCCTCTCTGAAGTCAATAAAATAATAATGATAATAATAGAAAAATAACTGAAAGGCAATTATTAAAAAAAAGTTATATGCCTGGGGTGTGACTACTCACCATAAGCTTCCCAACTGTGCATATATGATCAGATCACCCTGTGAGGTTACTTTCAGTCACTAGAATTGCTAGATTTATTTACAGAGCCCCCCGTTTTTGGTCCACATTCACGCAGATAAATTCATTATCTCACAGTTCTAGAGGCCAGCAATTTGAAATCTAGGTGTTGGCAGGGCTTCACTGTCCCTGGAGATTCTAGGGGAGAATCTATTCCTTACCTCTCCCAGCTTCTAGTGGCTGCAGGCATTCCTCAACCTGTGTCCACATCACTTCCATCCCTGCCTCTGTGCTCACATTTCCTCCTTCTCTTCTATCTGTGTCTCTCCTCTGTCTCCTATGAGGACACACCACTAGATTTATGGCCTAGCCTGGTAATCTAAGACCATCTTTTTATTTCAAGATCCTAAACTTAATTACATGTGTAAATCTTTTTTTTTCCCCCAAATTCACAGGTTCTGGGGACTAGGATATGGACATATCTTTTTGGTGACCAGCATTCAGCTCCTGACATCTACCTTTCTCTACTGTCATTATGGTTAGTCAGGAAAGCTGAACAAAGTCACTACTCAGGTTATTATGATGTTTAAGTTATTTATTAATATTATCATTTACTGAGAAATTGTGTATGTGTGTGTGTGCACTTTTTAATTCTTATAATCTTTTTAGCATTATCTCTTCTATGCAGATAAAGAGATAGAGGCTGAAAAAAGGTAAGATTTTGCTCAAGATACAACACAACTAATAAATGTCAATTCATACTTAAAGTCTCTATGTTTTCAACTATAGCTTAAATTTACATGTTCACATATTTTTTAGAAATTAGAAATTGATGTGTTAAATTTCACAAGATAGATTTTCTTCATTAAATTTTTGGTCTTCGTGATTCCTCAGTTTCCTGAAATCATACTCCATAAATTTCAGAATATCACTTTCAGATTTTACCTTAGGAAGAGCAAGCCAAAATGAAGTTTTATAGAATAATGGCCTTTAGGATGAGAATAAATTTTGGGCTACTGCTTCACCCAAAGCTGTCTTTTAATTTCCATTAATAGAGTAGTTTAGCCCGAATGGATTTGGAATTTAAAAAATGGGTGTTAAGCATACCTCAATGCTTAAGGCCATATGCACAGCTTTGGTGTTTGAATCCTATCTTCTCCATTTATTAACAACTAAAGGCCCAGTGCACAAAATTTGTGCATGGGAAAGGAGGGCCCTCAGCCCAACCTGCACCCTTTCCAATCTGGGACCCCTTGGGGGATGTCCGATCAGGCCTAAACCGGCAGTTGGACATCCCTCTAACAATCCAGTACTGCTGGCTCCTAACCACTCGCCTGCCTGCCTGCCTGATTGCCCCTAACCACTCTGCCTGCTAGCCTCATAGCTCCCTAACTGCTCCCCTGCTGGCCTGATTGATGCCTAACTGCTCCCCTGCCAGCATGATCATCCCCAACTGCCTTCCCCTGCTGGCCTGAGGGGACTGGGGGACTCTGGCTGGATGAGGCGGTACTGAGGGGACTGGGGGACTGAGGCTGGACCCTGTGGGGCTGAGGGGACTGGGGGACTCTGGCTGGATGAGGCGGTACTGAGGGGACTGGGGGACTGAGGCTGGATGAGGCAGGGCTGAGGGGATTGGGGGACTGAGGCTGGATGAGGTGAGGCTGAGGGGACTGGGGGACTCTGGCTGGATGAGGCGGGGCTGAGGGTACTGGGGGAGTGAGGCTGGATGAGACAGGGCTGAGGGGACTGGGGGAGTGAGGCTGGATGAGGCAGGGCTGAGGGGACTGAGGGACTCCGGCTGGATGAGGCAGGGCTGAGGGGACTGGGTTCCGCCATCTTGTGGCTATGGGTGCCACCATCTTGTGAGGATGTGGCAGTCAATTAGCACATTCCCTCTTTATTAGCTGTGGGCACTGCCATCTTGTGACGGTGTGATGGTCAATTAGCATATTTTCTCTTTATTAGATAAGATACTTTCTTGAGGTTAATCACTAACCTTTCCTGTGCCTTCTTTTCCTTATTTATAAAGTAGACAATTATAATGATGTCTCATAGGGTCCTTTAAAGAATAAATGAAATAATAATATGCTTAAACAGCAACTGCCATGTAGTACAAAATCAATATAGAAGTATTAATTATTTGACCCAGTAATCTCACTTCTAGTAATATATCCCAAGAAATCAGAAACACCAATCAGAAAGAACACATGCACCCCTATGTTCATAGCAGCACGATTTACAATAGCTAAGATTTGGAAACAGCCTAAGTGCCCATCAGCAGATGAGTAGATTAAAAACCTATGGTATATCTACACAATGGAATACTATGCTGCTGTAAAAAAGAAAGAACTCTTACCTTTTGCAACAGCATGGATAGACCTGGAGAGCATTATGCTAAGTGAAATAAGCCAGTCAGAGAAAGATAAATATCACATGATCTCATTCATTTGTGGAATATAATGAACAACATAAACTGATGAGCAAAAATAGATCTAGACACATAGAAGCATCGAATAAACAGACCATCAAACCTCAGAGGGAAGGCAGGGGAAGGTGGGAGGGGAGTAGGAGATCAACCAAAGGATTTGTATGCATTCATATAAGTATAACCAATGAGTACAGACAATAGAGGGCTGGGACATGTTCTGGGGGGTGGGAGCGGCAGGGGGAGGTCAATGGGACTAAAAGGAGACATATGTAATACTTTAAACACTAAATAATTTAAATAAAAAAGAAGTATTAATTATTATCAGTTAGAAGTATTTCACATAGAAAGTGATCAAAGACATACTACCTTTGAAATTGTGGTGGAGTAGCCAGCAGCAGAGTTCAGTAGTTTTATTTGGCACACAGCATGGCTTTAAAGCAGAACACAGGCCAGAGAGTGTCCAAGCGCAAATATTACCCGTTAGAATTTTCTTTTGTAAGTCGAAGTGTTTTGTGTTCCTTCCTTTCTTCTTCACACCAATTGTAATCCCTGTGCCTTTGTATTTCTCTCCTCACTCTGCTCTGTTACTTATTCTTTCTTTAAGGACAAAATTAAGTTTTCATTTTCCAAGATAACCCTTGCTAAATCTTACCTATTTCAGATTGCCAAGGTAATTGAGTCAGTAATTGAGTCAACAGAAACAATCTTATTAGCTCTGTTTCATATGCATGAACTCTGTCAAGAATACTGGGAACTATTTTCCGTTGGCATGTTTACAATTCTAAGAAATCTATTGTGACTTACAATTTAGAGATAAAGTATGGGCAGGCTCAGAGCACTGGTAGCTTTTAGCTCTAAGTAGACCAAGAATTATCTGCACAGCATTTCTAACTAAGAGTGGTTTACAGCTGTCAGATTGTATAAAATTAATGCTAGTTTGTTTGCATCCATATCATAGTGTAAGCAATTGTAGTCTGTCAGTGGAGCAGGGAGGAAGAAATGGTGAGGTCTTTATAGTTCACTTATTTGTGTTTTAATATATAGCTTTCTGTGGCAATTACTTTAAATTTATGAACCTCATTTATAATAACACTTTTCTTCATGGAACCCAGTGTCCATGATGAAGACAAATTAATGATCATTATTAATAGACTCAAATGTCAACAGTTATTATCTAATGTTATATTGATTTTGGGTGAAGGGGTGAGTAAATGGCAGCACAGGAGAGTGAAATGAATTATCTCCATGATAAACTATGGATGATGGAACCACCACAGGCATCTGCATATGCTTAATTTTGATTTTTATCCAGCTGAGGCATGACTTATCCCTCCCACCCCTATTCAGAAAGTGAATTCACTTCCTGGTGGGGAAAGCCTTTAATTCTTAGTGTTTAAGGAAAAATACTGTAAAATGCATTGTGTTTATTGTAAGTGAAATTCTGATCATGCTCGTAACCACTGTACTTTGCTATCAAACTCACAACCGCCAAGCTCTTCCTTTGATCAAGGGGAACTAAAGTGTGTCTGCATGAATTGTTTCACACCCTGTCTTCTCCCATGTCTAGGTGAGCACAAAATGCCGAGGCCTCTGGTGGGAGTGTGTCACAAATGTTTTTGATGGAATTCGCACCTGTGATGAGTACGATTCTATTCTGGCCGAACATCCCTGTACGTATACCTGAGACATTCCCCTCGCAGGGAGGGAATACCCAAGAAAATTGAACTCAGGTTTCTGTCATGTGGTTTTTTTGTTCTACAGTACTGTATTAAGGTTCTTTCCAGTTTTAAATATTTTGATTAGACATTTAGTTTATTTCTGAAATGTGAGTTGAAACATTTTAGGGTATTTTATCTTTTCCAATGTGTTTGTAAATTCTTTAGAGTAAAAATATTATCTTACTCATTTCTGCTTTTCCCCAAAAGACCTGGCATAGTGCCTTATACACAGTAGGTTTATAGTAAACATTTTTGAAATTGAAACGGATTCTTCAGGATGCTTAGATTTTATTATTAGAATTGACAGGTTTGATGAAAAGTATTTCAGAGATATCTTTTAACTATGACTGTTCAAATAAGAAGTTTATAGCATTTCAATGGAAGATTTGCTATAAAAAGAGAATTGGAGATAGAAGGACAGAGACAGAAAGAGACAGATTAAAGCAAATTGGTTTTAGTTTTTTTCAAAGTAATTGACAGGTGATGGTACCACAGGGTAACTTCTTTTCTCAAGATAAATGAAAAGCAAATCTTGGAATGTGACTTCTCCCCCGGAAAGCTATTCATCCAGGGCAAAGAACCTAAAAGGATTTCAGTGCTGTAAATATCTTCCCCTGGCATTTGGGATTTGAGTGCCTGGAACATTTTTAACATAATTCATAAAGACTTTATTTCATCTTTTTTTAAAAAGACCTCTTAATTCTTTCCCACCTTCCCCTCTTTGCACTAACCTAGTTCTACCTACAAAGAAGCATGATTTGGTCAATAGGAATATAAATTCATGTGGTCACTAAGCTATTCCAGAAATATAGAGGTATGGATACAGCTGAGAAAAAAATGAAATCTTTCAACATATTAAACACTTATGCAAGAGGAAAATAAAATCACTCATGAGCACACTGCACAAGAGAAAAATCACTTTATATTTTAATGTTCCTTTTGTATCTTTTGCTTACACTATCTCACATTTTCCCTTTATTTAGTCTTACCAATTAGTTGCAAATAACATTGAAAAGATGCATTAATTTTCTTTAAAAATCTCTACCATATACTTAAAGACAATGGAGATGAAAATGTATTCTAGAAAATATTATAACTATTCCCTCTGTGTTAGGGTGTTACTTATAAGAGAGTAGGATTTTATTTTTAGTCTTTGATATCTTTTACACAACTATAGTCAACCAAAGATAACCTTTTCCATTATCCTGTAAACTGAAGTATGAAGACCCAGACAAATACTTTTTTTTCAGGGTTCCTGTTGATATAGTTCATTTGAACTCCACCCCCCCCCAAGAATTAGAATATATTTAATATTATTCTGGCAGCCAAATCTCACACAATCTTCAAAAGAAAGTTCCTGGCTAACCTGCATTAGCAACCTGCTTGCAGTGCTACTTTCTTGGAATTGGCCTAGCCATGAAGCACCCGGATGACCTCATAAACATGAGTCCTGGAGTTCTGCAGAGCATCTGAATAATGCTCTGGGTGGGATCAAGGGTCAAAGAAGGGAAGACCAGGACCCACAATGATTTCAGGGCACCCCATCCAGATGATGCTTCTTCTGTTACTGGGTCGTCCCAGGTTCCAAAAAGGCTCATAGAAAATTTCAGGGGAGGCACTCCAAAGTGTGGGGCCCCTTGGCTTGGGGTGTTGAACAGGAGTCCCACTTGTGCATATCATTTGAGGATCAGGAGTATCTGTTGAAATATAAAGACTAATATTACCTAATGAGTTACATATTATTTTCTTTCCTCAATTTTGAGAAAAGTCAGCCTTAGGTTTAGCCTAAATTTGAAATTTGAGCCTAGTTTTTTTAAAAATAATGCTAAATTTTGAGACCTTAAAAATTCCATTCTAGAAATGAATATATACTCACATTTTAATAACACAATAATTGCTTATAATATATATACCTATTAATAATGTAGAAGCTGATTTTATGCATTGATGTTCTCTTACATAGATCATAAAAATATTTATTTTTGTTTTAAATAAGAAAAATTGGCCACATTTTTGCAAGCAACCTATTACTAAATAGGCCCTAAAGTTACCTCATCATTGGGGGAAATTATTTATAATGCCAGGGAACCCCAAATCACTATGAATATAAAACCTAATTACTATATCATTAAAGGAATAAATTTTATTACTCCTCTCTATTAGTCAGCTAAAAGACTAGTAGTTCTGTCTTCGGGTAATTAACCCTCCACACATTGTAATGAAGTCTTCCTATTGTCAAATTAGCATAACCATCACTCATTCAGGAGGCTTTCCCAGTGGAAGATGCTTCCACTGCAGGAGGTGATTGCTACTCTTCCACTTCTGGTTTCCTTATCTTCTCTTGCCTGTGCCTTCTACTGTTTATTCTCACTGGCTGTAGCTTTAAAATATGCTCAGTTGACAATGCAAATGAAAGGGTTAATATGATGTCTTGGCCATGAACGGATGAGGCTTGAAGGAATGTGAAAGAGAATATAATCTGTCTTCCAGAAATAGTCTTCTACGGTTCTCCCACCAGCCTAAATTAGCAAGAGAAGTCTTAAAATTAATTTTGCTCCCCTATATCAAACTTTAACAAATTATTTTTAATTTTTTTACAATAAAAGTTCAAACAAATATAGTGGTCATTTATTATTGAATATTCATTGAGTAACTTCTGCATAACAGATATTCTACTATGAATTCAGTGTTCAGTTATCATACTTGTGAACAGGATTTAGTCCAGAACAGGAAGCAAAAGAGAAACATTTATTTAGTCCCCACTATATACCAGGCATTTTTATAGGAGGCAACAAGACTAAGTAATAATCAGTGCTTGAACAAATAATAATGCCAATAGTCTAATAATATTTTTGTTTTATGAAAAATGTAAAGGAACTCATTTCTAAACTCATGTAAATTTAAGTGTACCACTTTCAGGTCGCCTGTTTTTTATGCACTTCTGTGAGTTAGTATGTTTCCTTCCTCTGACTGTGCTGTAACCACCTGCCCCGATCTTGCAGTGAAGCTGGTGCTGACTCGGGCGTTGATGATCACTGCAGATATTCTAGCTGGGTTCGGATTTATTACCCTGCTCCTGGGTCTCCACTGCGTGAAATTCCTCCCTGATGAGCCATACATCAAAGTGCGCATCTGCTTTGTGGCTGGGACCACATTATTAATAGCAGGTACTGGTCTGGACTAGTGGTAGGGGTAGATATACGCATCTAAGATCCTTTTTTTAAAATTTGTTATTATTGACAGTATTACAGATGTTCCCCAATTTCCTATCATTAGTCCCCCAACCCTGCCCCACCCAAGGCCTTCACCACACTATTGTCTGTGTCAATGGTTATGCATATATGTATACAATTTCTTTGGTTAATCTCTTCCTGTATCTGCCCCCCCCCCCCACAACACACACACACACACATACCTCTAAGATATGTCAGCTTATTCCATGCATCCATGCCTCCTCTGGGCCTGTTTTGTTCACCAATTTATTATATTAATTAAATTCCACATATAAGTGAGATCATATGATATTTGTCTTTCTCTGATGACTTATTTCACTCAGTATAATATTCTCCAGGTTGTCCATGCTGTTGCAAAGGGTAAAAAATCCTTCTTTTTTCCAGCTGTATAGTATTCCATGGTGTAAATGCACCACAAATTTTTTATCCACTCATCTACTGATAGGCACTTGGGCTGTTTTCAGATATTAGCTATTGTAGGTAACATTGCTATGACTATAGGGGTGCATATATTCTTTCTGATTGGTGTTTTAGGGTTCTTGAGGTGCAGGAGAAGGGTGATGTTCTGAAGTAGTCATTTTAGGATCGTGTGTGACTTCCTTTTCTAAATTGAAGGAGTAAAAGGCACATTCACCAGTCCTACTTTCTTTTGCTTTGGAATCAGATAATTAATCTTTTTTTGTTAATATGGCAGATCAAGATTTATCAAAGTCCTCAAACTATTTTTCAACCATCTTAAAAAGATGTATAATGCTTTAATTTAAAAAATAATTTCTAATGTGATTATTCTTGAAGTTAAATTCTCAGTTAAGCCCCAAATTAAGCCTCCTTACCTCCTTACGTCCACCCCCACCGATTCTTTTTAGCAATGAATTAAATTGTGCCAAGACCTATGATAGACTTTTCTCATGTGCCAACCCATTTGATCATAAACTAAACAATAAGCAGATAATATTATTCTCTTTACTTAAGACGCAGATGAATAAATAGAGTTCTGAAGACTAATAAATCAAACATGACTAATAAACCATAAGTCAAGAAACACTTCACATGATGTTTATTAGTGAAACAGCACAATTAATATTTTACTCAGGTCTGTTGTCAACTTCAAAGCTTAGTCTTTCTCTACCACAACATGATGTCATCTTTGGATCTTGATGCAAGTTTGGAGGAAGCATCCTGTTGAAGAAACCAACAGAAATATCCTCCAGTGAGAAAACTGTCTTCTTTTATGCTAGAAGCAAAAAGTTAGCAAAGCAAATGTAAGTGAGAACCTGACCAGGCACTCTAGGCAGTGAATGGATAGAGAATGTGCCCTCGCAGCCCCAGCTTCGTCCGGAAGGTCGTTCGGCTGTCCAGTCTAATTAGCATATTACGATTTTATTAGACCAGTTACTTAACCTGTCTTCATTTTCTGATCTGCAGAATAGGCTGAAGCCCCGGCAATAATATCTTCTTTGAATTGCTCTTGTGAAGATCCAATGTACGCAGAGCAAGCTCATAGCAGAGAGCCTAACCTATCTCCAACTCAAAACCGGGTTCTCCCTGATTTTTTCACGTGCAAACATTGAGTCAAGGCCCTGATGATCCTTAGATTGTATTAGAAAGTTACAAGAATTTAGTTATTTTTCCTTTTTAAGACATGTATTCCCTATCCAGCCTAGTGATTCTATAAAGCTTTTGTATGTAACAATGTGTTTTATTTAACAAATTTAACATCATTTAATGGTATACATTTTGTTACAGAATACTTTTTGAGATATCACTAGATACTCCATTTTTTAAAAATAAAACAACAGAATGAGCTAAATTTAAAGAAAACCATGTCTATAGAGAAAATCCCAGTAGGAATGGCTGAAGAAAAAAAGGACTACATTTAAATTGCCAGACATGACCAAAGACTTGGAGCCATCATTCAGTATTAGTATTTACATAGATTCTAAGTTATAACAAAAGGAATTTCCATTCTAAACCCGTTGGTTATAGTATTATAGAAAAGGCATGAGAATGTATACCCTATTATCTAACGATTGTATGTTTATGATCTGGTTCTTCTTAAAAACTGTATTAAATAATTGGGAGAAGAATGCAATGAAATGGTGGTTTAAATAGATATCACAAACTCCCTAGAAAAAAAACGTGAAAAAACATTTTGGAGACTACAAGTTTCAGAAATACCCTTTTCACATAGTCTTTTATCCTCCGGTCCCCCATTGCTTTTTGCATCTAGGCCCTGACATGCAATTTATTCCTTTAAAACAAGAGGACCTTAGTGGCATCACTCTAAGCCAGTCATTTGTGAGATAGACTAATTTAAAAGGAATACATTTTATTTATAAGGGATAAATTCTGTTTACAAGGAATACATTTTCTCTGTTTATTCTTATATGTGGGGGTGATAGGTAAGAATTTGTTTTAAATTGAAGGCAATTTTTACTTCAGTTACTAGTTTTTAATGCCAACACACTAAAATGAGTGACTTTAAAAACATTAATTTCCATATGAGTGTGTGTTATGTAGCTGACATGGCTTTAACCATGGGTTTGGATCGTGAAGAAGGGGAGCAATAGAATGTTCTTAAAGACATCTACTTTCAATTAAAATATTGAGATAGAAAGAACATGTTCTTCATTATTTGTCTTAAATTTTGTGTTCTTTCTCTTCTTTAGATTTTTCTTTTGTTTTGATAGTTTTCTTTCTACAATACTAAAATAACATTGGAAAGAGAAAAATTAAAGAAAACCATAGTGACCATTTTAGATTTACAAAAACAGATGAGCACTGCATTCTTTTATTTTTGTAATTCTGAGATGTAATTTGGAAGAAATACAAGATAGGCAGCCACAGGAACACATAAAAAAGGTGACCACAATTTGAGTTGTTCATGAATCCACAGTATCATTTATTATTCTTTGCATGATGCCATCTGTTGAGAAGCAGGACTTAAATTTAGAAAATACCTGCATTTTTTTTTACATCTTCCCTTTCTTTTAGGTGCCCCAGGAATTATTGGTTCTGTGTGGTATGCTGTTGATGTTTATGTGGAACGTTCTACTCTGGTTTTGCACAATATATTTCTTGGAATCCAATATAAATTTGGTTGGTCCTGTTGGCTTGGAATGGCTGGGTCTCTGGGTTGCTTTTTGGCTGGGGGTATCCTCACATGCTGCTTATACATCTTCAAAGGTAAGAACAAAATAAACTAGCATACTTCCCTGCCTCCAGTATCATTTTCCCCAACCCAATGGAAACACATCTCACCAACTCAAAATAATGTTATTCCCTTGATCTCTACTCACTGCCATTAAAAATTTTAGTTGTTCAAAGACAACTCATTTCTAATATTCAAACCTATTACCCAGTTAGTGGTTCATTTATTGAAAAAAAAGTCCCATAGCTACAACTGTCTAATATCCAAACATATAATGATTAAATTGATATATCATAATCTTATATCTCTCACTTCACCCAATCTATTACGTTTATATCTGGAGTTAAATAGAGAAGTAGACTGAAAGGCAAACCAAATATTTGTTGTTAAAAACTGCAATTTGGTTTCTAAAAATGCCACTTTAAAAAAAAAGAACTCCTCTCTTTATCAAGAAAAAAATAAAGAAAATACCTGGCTCAATTTTGAATCTAAAATTAACTTACAGGATAAAAATTTATATTGTCATTTAGAGGTCTTCTTAGATGATTCTTTCTTAGAATATGTACTAGTATATTCTTGTCACTTTTGGAGAAGAATATGTAAATTGATATTATTTTATTTCCCAAAGTTTACTCAGCCATAATTATGTTGATATCCCTACAATTACCTCTCCTAAACAGATGTGGGACCTGAAAGGAACTATCCTTATTCCATGAGGAAGGCCTATTCGAATGCAGCTGTTTCCATGGCCAAGTCATACGTGGCCCCTCGGACAGAGACTGCCAAAATGTATGCTGTGGACACAAGGGTATAGAGTGCTGCATATCATTCTGTGTTTGTATGTTATTTAATTAAGCAATAATTTCTGGTGAATAAAATAGCAGCTAAACCAAGGAACAGTTATTTAAACTTCATGTCAACTAAATTAATTGTGCAGCTTAATAAAAAAAAAGTTTGTCACTTCTTTGCTATTATTCTCATATTCTTCCTCATTCTTTCTCCTCTCTCTCTCTCTCTCTCTCTCTCTCTCTCTCTCTCTCACACACACACACACACACACACACACACACACACACACTTTCCCTATATTTCAAGTTGAGTTTGCTAGAATATAAAAATGTTTGTGAGTTCTATATTGCTATTAGAGATTGTGACATGGTGATATTAAAATAAAGTGACACTTTAAGAATAGAAAGCAACCTTCAAAAGATGCCGGAGATTCTCATCTTTGAAAGGATTAACAAACTCTTAGTGCTTTCCCTGGGTTTTGGTTCACTTTTTGTATTCTTAACTTAGTTATTTGATAACTTTGAAAAAAATGGTTCTTTTAAATTCAATCTAAATGTTAGCACCTACTATTGCTCTGATTCTGTTAAAACTGAAGAAAAAAAGTAGCTTTATGTGCTACTGGTAGAAGTTAAAGGTAAGAAGTTTCCCCTTCACACTCCAAATGTCAAAAGCAGATGCTAAAATAATGCCGGAGTCAGTGGTGACTTCCTTCCTCATTCACAATATAAGAGATCTGTGTATTATTATCATCACTCCCCATTTGCCTATATATTGCCAAATTATTAGACTACAGCAGTAATAGTTAAACAAGGAGTTCACTCATTTATTGATTGGACATCCAAATATATTTTATGAATGCACCATGTTAGCATTCACTAACTCAGGTGTCCTCTCACAACTAGATCCTTAACCCCTCGCAAAATATCCAAATATGGTAGTAACAAATATTTGTTGACTGAAATAAATAAAGCCTCACAACTCTTTACTTAAATAATCAAATTTCCTCATAAAATATGTGCTTTTTAGAAAAAAAAGGAATTCTGTAGACACTTAAATCAATGAATGATTGCTAATGGAACTCATTCATATTCATAATGTAATCATCTTGCATTTTTTAAACGGTAAAGTTTTAAAAATGTTTATAAAATTTAATCTCAGCCTCCCCAATTCCTTGTAATTCACATGAATAGCATCAATCCTCTTGCAGTCCCTTAATGAACTATCAACTAAACTGGAAATTAGTTCTTTGGAAATGGAAATTTAGCTGTGAATTTCTGAAGACTCCAAAAGAAACACTTCAAATTAAAAAAAGAAAACTAAAAATAATGTGAAAATGAAATGATGAAAGCCTACTACATATTTTAATGTTTTTGAGAATGGTGTTCATGATTTAAAAAGGTATTTCTTTACCAGTATTCTCAGGAGAAATTCTAATCTAATCTTATAAGTCAGAGCAATTGACTCACTTTGTAGACCACATTTCCTAGTTATATGGGTATTATTCTATGCACTTAAAAACTTATTCTTGTTCTTTTTCTCAACCTTATTTTTAAAATTTTTTATTTTTACTTTAATTTTATGATAACATTGTCTGTTATCTCTTATATATTCTAATACATCTCTTGAATCCTTCTGCGGAAAGGCAGGGTAAAAATTAATTAAGTTAGCTCATTAAATTTTAGAGATACAATTTTTTTTCCTTCTTAAATTTCATTTGTATGAGAAAATATTTTAAAAGGTTGTGGTAATAATGGACATCTATGATAATTTTGAATTTTTTCTCATAAAAACATTTTATAGATTATGGGAGGAATATTAGTATTTGTGTTGTTTTCTTTAATTACCTTGGAAATGTTTATTTCTAATTCCCTATAACTTAATAAAGCATCCCTAAATAAAGCCCAGCAAAGAATATATTTTGTATAGCAACTAGTGAACAACAAAACAAATATTAAATAGTGAAGAAGTAATCATTGACATGGTGATAGCTCAGCATGCTTAGAAAGAAAAAATAATATACATCAAAGTGTACATACATAAGATTATTAGGTTGAAACATTAAAATAGCTCACTGTATTCTGGGTACTGTAATTTAGTCATATCCAGTTAATTACAATAAGAAAAAGTAAAATTTATAAAATTGGACAATTTTATTTACCCATCCCTTTATTAACTACTAGAGGCCCAATGCACAAAATTCTGCACTGGGAGGGGGGCTCCCTCAGCCCGGATTGCAAGAGGGTGCAGGCCAGACCGAGGGACCCCACCAGTGCATGATCGGGGCCGGGGAGGGACGAGGGAGGGCTCCAGGGTGTGTCCAGCATGTCTTACTCAGTCCGATCAGCTGGACCCCAGTAGCAAGCTAACCTACTGGTTAGAGCATCTGCCCCCTGGTGGTCAGTGCACATCATAGCAAGTGGTTGAGCGGCCTTAGCATATCATTAGCATATTATGCTTTGATTGGTTGAATGGAAGACCAGACACTTAGCATATTAGGCTTTTATTATATAGGGTGATTCTAATATCACATTTTAAATAAAAATTAGATGTTTGTTATTATAAAAGTTATATGTGTGCATTGTAGACAGTGGAAAAACACAACAACAAAAATATATCTTATTTTTTAATGTTAATCCTCACCTGAGGATATTCTTCCATTGATTTTTAGAGAGAGTGGAAGGGAGAGGAAGAGACACACAGAGAGAAACATTGATGTGAGAAAGACACATCAATTGGTTGCCTCCCACATGAGCCCCAACCAGGGCCTGGGATTGGGCCTGCAATGGAGATATGTGCCCTTGACCAGAATCTTACTCAGGACTCTTGAGTCCAAGGGCCAATGCTCTATCCACTGAGCCAAACTAGCAAGGCAAAAATGCGTCTTATTTAAATGACTTGGTACCATATTCTCTGTACGTAGAACATTGCTACTCCTTAATCTTATTGAACATCTGTGTATCCTTCCAGATATTATGTACTTATACACATACACATATATTTCTTTTTTTGAGATCATTCTGTATGTGTTGCTTGTAATCAACTTTTTCCCCTTTAACTATCTCTGCCTTTCCTAGCAATACATTTTCAACTTATGTTAGAACTGATCCATATTTAAATTACCCAAGTTTTTTAAAATGTATTAACACAGTTGGCTTGTCCAAACCAGATTCTATATTTCCTCTGGTTGTTATGCGTCTTAAGTCTCCTTTAATCAAGGTACATTTTGTCACAGACTCTAACTTGTTAAAAAACAACAAAAGCACACTGCCATGGCTGGCATAGCTCAGGGGTTAGAGGGTCCGTAGGCACCAAAAGGTCTCGGATTCGATCCTCGGTCAAGGGCACTACTTGGGTTGCAGGTTTGATCCCGGCCCCAGTCAGGGTCAGGGTGGGAGGCAACCAATCAATGTGTCTGTCTCACATTGATGTTTCTCTCTCTCTCTCTCTCTCTCTCTCTCTCTCTCTCTCTCTCTCTCTCTCTCTTTCTCTGTCTCTCTCTCCCCCTCTTTCCCTCCCTCCCTTCCACCCTTTCTAAAAATCAATGAAAAAAAATATCCTCGAGTAAGAATTAACAACAAAAGAAAGCTGAACCAGTTTTCCTACAGTTCAATCCAGCTTCTGGATTTGTCTGGTGCTGTAACTTAGTTGTTTCTTTATATCTGTATTTCCAGTAAATTAGAATTTGAATCTAAAGTGTTGATGGAATCATGTTAAATAATTTTTAGGATACACCATAGGTGATGTGATAGAATATCCAGAATCCTAATATCTGGTTGATTGGCCTTAAAATCATTCACTGGATTAGGGGGATGACAATCTGACCCCTCCATTCTTCAGTTATATATGTTTTCTCCTTGGTGACAAAAATAATAATCCTTTAGTGATTATTGTGGTGTTATTTTTGAAACTATAAGGATATCCCATCCTCCAATTATCATAATAATAGTTTTAAAACAATACTTTTAACAATTGATCCTTTTCTAAGTGAATACATTAGTTAGGGTTTATAGAAAAATCATTTTCTAATTCTATTTTATGTACATCTGTAGTGGACATTTTTTCTGAAAAATCAGTCCTAGACTATTCATCAAAATCTGCTTAGTTAACCTGAAGAAGCATGATAAATGCTCAATTATTTTCCTTTTCCAATTCACTAGTACAAAATAAAAAGCTGATTTATTAGTGGGATAATAAATAATTTATGATTGAAACAGACAATTTGAGAGTAAAAGAGGGTGACATTTAGTGATTAAGTCAGGACTTCCATGGGAAAGCAAGAAGGTGTGGTCACTCTTTTAGTGCAAAGGGCTCTCCTTTCATTGTCCCCAATGCACTTCACTTATGAATATGTTTTCTTGTTCCATACTTCAATTTCCCATAAAGATTACAAGCTCTCGCCTTGGCCAGTTGCTCAGTGGTTAGAATGTTGGCCTGCAGACCGAAGGGTCTTGGGTTTGACTCCCAGTCAAGGGCAACATAACTCAGTTGCAGGTTCTCCAGCCCCAGTAGGAACTGGTGTGGGAGGCAACAAATCTATGTGTCTCTTGCACATCGATGTCTCTTTATCTCTCCCCCCCCTACTCCCTCCCTTCCACTCTCTCTAGAAATCAATGGAAAAAAATATCCTCAGGTGAGCATTAAAAAAAAGATTACAAGCTTTAAGAGGGCTACACGTTTTCTACTTTGTGTATTGCTCTATTCCTAGTATCTGCACAATGCCTGATGCATAATAAGCCCTCAATACATATTTTTGAATAAATGAGTGAATGAATGGTGGTAATACCCTGGCCAGGAAAATTCATTGTGTGAGATTTATTTGTTCACTATATTATTCCTTCCCTTATTTATGCATACATTTGGGCAGTTTTATTGAAAGGCCATATCTGTGGTTTGAAGCAGCCTAAGGTATAGGGGGCACACAGACATTAAAAAAAGTTTAGAGTGCAATAAAATAGTTGCTATATCATGGGTATAGAAGAAATCCCATAAGAAAATCAATCTCTACATCTGCTGGTAGAGTCAGGG